TGTTTCCTGCCCCTGTTTTAATCAACTTACCCTTCTTGCCTGTCTAGACCATTCTACGTTAATTGATAATCACATTTCTATTAACAAAAGCTAAACCAACACTTTCTGATAAAATTGTAGATTTATATTTTATTTTTGTCAGGATTCTCTATGGAACTTTATACCATGTCCATACTTTCCAATGGCTTTTTTGCCTTAAGACTTAGGTATCTATTTTTGCCCTGACTGCTCCCAATAGGATTGTTACCTTTGCAGCCACTTACAACCTGCTGCTTGAAGTCAACCTTCCACCAGAAGAGGCATGTGTCTTTACAGTCAAGATTTGCTTTAAAATATTTCTATCAAATAAATTTTGGGGGTAAATACAGAAAACTAACTATTCCACCCAGTTCTAGCCGTGGCGTGTACACAACATACAAGCTGTAAGTAAGGGCTCACTGCCAACTAAGGAGGAAAAATGGCATGAAAAGCCTACACAGCAAGCAGAGAGGAGTACTTGAAAGCAGGTGAAGGCAGTCAAGACACACAGAAACTAGAACAACACAAGGAGAAATGACATATCGTGAGCAGCTGGGAGCTATGCTACAAACAGTACAACAGAGCACACACTGCTCGGGGAACTGGAAGGTGAGCTAGGGCCCTGGTGTGTTCGTGGTATGGAATGGTTTGGTTCTACCTGACAACTGTCCTGCCTCTCCAAGGCTAAATAGTCCAACAGACAGGATTTCCTCCATGAGGAAAACAGGCTGGGGAATAAAGGGAGCCCTTATGGCATTCTGGTGTCCAACCAGAAATTGCACAAGAGAATATTCCCCCAAAGCAGGAAAACTTCCCAGTGCTTGGGGCTTCCTAGCAGAGCCCCAGCAGCCTCCTCACTCCTGGTCTATCACTTACTCTCTGCCATCTCCTGGAGCAAGGTGCGAACAAACACCTGTAGCTGCAGAGCTGCTTGCTCCATCCCACCTCCCCACTGCTGCACGCCTGCTAGGAGCACCTGGAACACTCACAGCTCCTATCCTTACACAGCCTCCTTTTTCCCTTCTTTTCCCCATTTTCGGGCACAGCCCGGCACGACACCCGCACTCGGCGGCGCGCGGCCCCCTCGGGCAGATGGCGCCCGTTGGCACCACGTGACCTCATGCACACGCGCTACCCCCACACCACACAGCCATGACTCCGGCGCATGCGCCTTTTTATGCAGCGGGCCGGGCGCCGCGCATGCGCACTGCGGCGCGGGGTCTCGCGAGAGTTGGGCGGCGCCGCGGAGGCCGTTTTGAACGGCGGCAGCGGGCGGGGCGGCGCGCGGCGGGG